GAATCTTTGCTAATGCCTCCATATCAATACATTCAGCCTGATCTAACGCTATGTTCTTCCCTCCTTGGTCTAGCATTCTCAGAATTTCTCTCCACATGTATTCCCCAGATTTTCGCTTTTATAAATTAGCGGAATTTCACACTTCCTGTGATGGGTAAATCTTTTCCTTTAGAGCTTGCCTTTCTAAATGGCCTTTTGAGGTGTGCTGGGCTTTGTAGCGAGAGAAAATGAGGAGTATTTGGCATAGGGTATAAAGTTTCAAGGCCACACCCTCAAGCCAAGTAATTAGATGATCTCAATCAAAGCAGCAAGAACCTCATAACTGCCTTCATTTGGCAAAGGAAGCCAACATAAAGGCCTGAGGTCTGCCTTTGTCTTGTGTAACTCCATTCAATCCTGAGGGTCCCACTGAATTCTAATCAATACTTTCTGTTTCAAATAAGAGAGTGGTTAGGCTATGAATGCAAGTGATTTTGTAATTCAGCAATCCAAAAGACTAATATTTGGGGTCTTTTTCACTTACTTTGGTCTCTAGCTGCTAAAAATCAAAAGGTTTTTTGCTTGTCTGTTTTAGAAGTCATAGAAAAGCCCTAGTTTATAGGTACTTAGAGCTGAGAATGTAAAAGTTTGAGCTCATAATTCTCTTTTTTAAAGTTGTTCAGGCTGGGTGCCGTGGCTCACGCCTGTAATCCCAGCACTTTGGGGGGCCAAGGTGGTGGAATCACAAGGTCAGGAGATCAAGACCATCCTGGCTAACATGGTGAAATCCTGTTTTTACTAAAAATACAAAAAATTAGCCTGGCGTGGTGGCACATGCCTGTAGTCTTAGCTACCTGGGAGGCTGAGGCAGGAGAATCACTTGAACCCAGGAGGCAGAGGTTGCAGTGAGTCGAGATCATGCCACTGCACTCCAGCCTGGGCGACAGAGTAAGACTCCGTCTCAAAAAAAGAGAGAAAAAAAAAAAGCTGTTCAACTCCATAAAAAACAATCACCTTACTCTCACCATCTTATTCCTAAGGCTTATTGCTCAGTTGTCACTTGCTCACTCAAAAGCTTAATTTCAATGGGTGCTTCATTGGAGATGTATACAGTTCATAACAAACTTTTGCTGCTGTATACCGTAGGCTGCCTGCAACAAAGACCTTTAAGGAAGCTGAGCTTTCAACCCTCAGCCTTAATTAGACTAGATAACCTATCCCTGATTTCATTTATTTCCCTTAGGGTCTATGCCTGTTAAGTGAAATGTTTGTATCAGTCAGGCTACTTAATCACAAGCAACAGAAACTTCCTCTGACCAATTAAGGAAGATCACTTGAGCCCAGAGATTCAAGACCAGCCAGGGCAAAACAGAGAGATACCCCCGCATCTCTATAAAAAAAATTAAAAAACCGGGTGTGATGGCTTGCACCTGTAGTCCCAGCTACTTGGGAGATTGAGGTAGGAGGATCACTTGGAGCCTGAAAGGTCAAGGCTGCAGTGAGCTGTGATCACACTACTGTACTCCAGCCTGGGCGAAAGAATGAGAACCTGTCTCAAAAAAAGAAGAAGAAAGAAAGAAGAAGAAGGGGGAGGCCAGAAATATGCATTATAGCAAGAACTCCTAAAATCATGTCATAGAAACTGGCAAGGTGAAGATGCTGCCACCTGAATCACTATCTGCCAGTCATCACAGCTTATATCATCAACATTATGGCATCAGTCACTGGGCACCACCACTGGCAGTGCTGCCCTAAAAATTTGGTCAGCACCTTTACCATCAGAGGTTTTACCTTGCACCAAGATTGCATAGCAGATAATTCCTCAAGCCATTAGAGTTCAGGTCCTGGGCAGAAAAAAAAAAAAAAAAAAAAAAAAAAAAAACATTTGTTAATTTCACAACCAGTTCCTAGACTGAACCACATGGGTCCCAGCTTTATAAGGTTTACATACATAACTGTTATGTACTTGTTGCTTTTATTTTTCATGCAATAGGTTAAGAAACCTGGTCTATATAGGGTATTGTTAATATCCCCTTTAGTATTTATCGTATTGTTCACGGTGGTTTCTACATGGATCTTCCTTTCTTCCTGGTTATCTGGGATGAGGAGCATGATGTAATAGAAAGGTTCTGGGCTTTGGAGTGAGAAGACCTTTGGATTCAATCCTGGCTCTGATCCTTATCAACAGTGCTTATCCTGTAAGTATATTACTTACCTTTTCTAAGTCTTGGCTTCTTTTCCTATAAAATAGGTATAGTAAAATTTGCTTCATGAATTGTTAAAACATAATTCACATAGAGCTTAGTAAGAGATGCTGAGAAACAATACATAGTTGGCCCTCTGTTAGCATGGATTTGGAGGATCCTAAATCCTCAGATTCAATTAACCACAGATAGAAATCCGCAGATACAGGGGGCTGACTACACTTGCTGATGTGTAAAGAGCTGTGTTTACTATGTTTATAATTGAGCAATTATTTAAAGTACTGCACATGGGACAGACATATGAAAGGAAATGAAGCAACACAGAGTAGACTTAGCAATACCAACAGATACTGTTGCATTATTGTGAAACAGTCCTAAATAGCTTTCTTTTTCTAACCTGACACCCATTGTTCACAAGCGGTAGAAGTGTTAAAAATTAATCTCTGTTTACCAGGAATGCCTTGGCCATCAGCTGTCAGGGCTGTCATTATTAAAATCCTGCTATGTTTTTTCTTCCTGAGTTTGTAATGAACTATTTCTTGAGAGGATGTGATGAAATATACAGCTGGATCCTAATAAGCATCCTTATGCCTAAAACAGTGTCCTTTAGCAATTAATGATCAAAATTGTAATCTTAACTATGGGGAAAACAGTTTAGATAGTATTAATTTTTCTTAAAGGCATTAAAAGTATGTCATTTATATAAATAAATACAACATATAATACAAGTATGGAAAATGCATATTTGTGTATACATATGAATGTACTTAATTTCTCGATATACATATGCACTTTTTATTAAAATATCCTGAAACAAAAAAATCTGTAATATCCTCCATAGCAGTGGGTTCATAAAGTTGAAATGATTGATGCCTTTCAGAAATCTCTAGGCAACCAGGTGGTACCATTATTAACCACCCATGGGAACTTGGCTTCAAATCGAATCTATTATGATTAGAATCTGCATGATCTGTATCCCGTACAGCAATTCCCGGCCACCAGATGTCACCATTCTTCTATATCCCTCCTGGTGCTTGAGGCGAGCAAGAGATACTATTTTCTCTCAAGGGACTGAGGGAAATACGTGCCTCAGAACATTACTGGGATTTCACCAAAAGTTCTTTTCTTAGGAAGACCAGTCATCCTTCACTTGCAGATTTTCCGGTGGCTTTTGAGTATAGGCTTTTCGACTCAACAGTTTCTAATAGCTGAGGAGCCAAGTGGCTGATAATTTGGGGCTCATCTGGTCAGGAAGTGTTAGAGCCATTTCCTCCAGCTAAATTTGAAGACAGGACTCACATAAGGTGCCCAAAGCCCAGAGCTTGCTCAGTGCAAGAGAGGCTATGGATATGCCTTATTAAGGTCCTGGGGTCAGGAGACCTCAACCAGCCATAAGCTCACTTACAAAATGAAGGAGAGGTACTGAATCATTTCTAGGGTCTAAAAATTCCATAATCCTCAGTTTGTAAATGCCTCTGATGGGGTGGGTGGGTAGTAGGGTGGGGGTGATCTAAGTCCAAGAAATAAGACCCCAGAGAGGATAGCGAAGTGGGGGCGAAGTCCTGCAGGGCAGATCACGGGAAACTGAACATGAATCCTTGTGAGATCTGGATGTAGTAATCAGTTATGGGGTCTGGAACTTGCCGGGGTTATGATCTTGTGGATTCTACCACTGCTCAATAGCCCACTCTTTCTCCATTCCAGATACTACTTAAAAGAAACTATAATGCTTATCGATGTAAATATATGGCATTCTCTCTCCTGGGGCTTGGTTGGATTTAATCTGTCATGTCAGTCAATGTTCTCTGTGATGCCTTCAGGCCATGGGATGTGTTTTATTTGTGAATTTACAACAGTGCAGTTTACAGCTAGTGCATCCAGAGTGTTCCTAAAATCTCGGAGTGGGAGCAGGGCAGAGAAAGAAGAATAGATTTCATTTATTAAGTGCCTACTATGTGCCAGATGTCGCTAAGTATTTCATATATATATTTCTTATCATCTTCACAACAACCTCTTGAAGCAGCATTTATTATGCTCATAGATAAAGATGAATTCAAATGGTTAACTGGCTTGCCCAAGGTTACAAAAACCAAATGACAGTATACATACTGCTTTGTGTAATGCGTTCTACAGAGGAGGAAACTGAGCCTCAGGGTGTTTTTTTTTTTTTTTTTTTTTTTTTTTTTTGAGACGGAGTTTCGCTCTTGTTACCCAGGCTGGAGTGCAATGGCACGATCTCGGCTCACCGCAACCTCCGCCTCCTGGGTTCGGGCAATTCTCCTGCCTCAGCCTCCTGAGTAGCTGGGATTACAGGCACGTGCCACCATGCCCAGCTAATTTTTGTATTTTTAGTAGAGACGGGGTTTCACCATGTTGACCAGGATGGTCTCGATCTCTTGACCTCGTAATCCACCCGCCTCGGCCTCCCAAAGTGCTGGGATTACAGGCTTGAGCCACCGCGCCCGGCCGTGTTTTGTTTAAGTTGCCTGCACCCCTAACATGGTTGAGGCCAGAGTCTCCCCATCACTGGGCTTCGCTGCTGGAAGGCCCGTTGTCCTTTGGGGCTTGGACTACAGCACTCCGGAGGATGCACTGTCATAGCCACATTTGCACACCGCCCCTGACCTTGTTAGAATTGTATTTGAGGCCGCGATCAGCCTGTCCCGCTAGCTCCTTTCTCCCCTTGGGCTGCGGAACAGAGAGAGGCTGGGTGAAGTCCTCCTAGACAGGGTTGAGAGTTTGCCGACGGCCCCTGAGACGATGGGGCGTTCCGAATTGGCTGAGCGCGCGGCCGGGGGCGGGGAGTTCGCCGACCGTCTCCGGCCGGAATTTCTGCCTCCCGGAGCCCTGAGCCCAGAAGCGGGGAGAAGTTGGCGAGGTCGTCTCCGGGAGGGTTGCCAGAAATTGAGGACGGACTCCCGCCGCGGTCGACTAAAGCCCCAGAGGAGCTTCTCTGCTGCGTCGGGGCTGAGTGTGGACGCGCCGCGCGCGTCCCCGCTAGGGCTGGGAGTTTGTAGACCGTCCCTGCCGCGGCCCGCTCGGCGGCGGCCCCGGGCGCGATCCAGCCCAGGTAGCCCTGCCGCAGGCTCGGGGCGTCGCGACCCCGCGCCTCGGGCCCCACGGGCACGGCGGCCGGCGGGGGCTCCGGCCGCTGCTGCTGCCCAGCAAGGAGGTAAGAGCTGCTCGGTCGGGGTCGTAGTGTCGGAGCTCGCCATCCCCGCGGGGAGATGCGCGCAGAGGGGACCGCGGGGGGCGCGGGGAACCGAGCGCGAGCGGGGAGAGCCCGCACTGGGTCGGCGCGGCCGGGGGCTTTCGTCCGCCGCTCCTTGGCAGCCTGCGTGGGAGCCCCGGCCCCGGCCGCTCTGCGGGACGCCGGAGTGCAGCCGGGGGATGCGCCTTGAGGAGCCCACCTGCCCCGGGCAGCCCTTCCGGGGGAGGCTGAAGCCCTCAGGCCCCGTGACGAGGGGGCTTGAATGCTTTCCAGGAGACAGTCCTGAGGAAGCTCCGGTTGCGCGGGCTGGAGGGGAGCGGCCAGAAATGGCAGATGGGCGCTCGGACCGCGGAGGAGCCCGGTGGGGTCACGCTGCAGGCGTGGGCCGGGCCGGGGTCCTCGGGACCCAGGAGCACAGGGCGGGCTCGGCCGTGGGCCAGTGGGGAGGAAGGAAGGAGGAGGGAGGCTGGCCCCAAGCCCCTGGGGAGGAGGGATGCGGCGAGCCGGCGCTCGGGCCAGGGGATTCTGGAGGCCCTGGGGCGCCCCGGCCGCTAGGGGACGGCCCGCGGGTTCGCGATCCCGCCGGCGCGCTCAGCGCTGCTGCCGGGTCTGGGAGGCTGCGGGGAGCCCAGAGCCCACACCCGCGCACACACTCCCCGAGAGCATGCTCAGTGCGGCCCTGGGAACTTCCTGCCGAGTCGCGGGCCGCCCTGGCCCCCTCCGGGTCCCCCTCCGGGCCCTCGGCTCGCAAAGTTGGGGGCGGCGGGTCTAGAGAGTGGTGGGCGCTGCTCCCGCCTGTGGCTCTTCCTCGCCCCCGGCCCCTGCCTCGCCTCAGTTGAGCTCCGTGCGCTGCTCTCCCGGACCGCCCCCGCAGCCGGGATTGGGGGCGTGGGTGTTAGCCCCTGCGCCCCGCGGCGGGGTGGCCAGAGGCCTGGAGCGCGGCTCTCTGCCCGGTGGACCCGCGCCCTGTGCGCCCGCCTCGTGCCCGGACCTGGCGCGGCGAGCAGGTGGGGTGCAAGGGGGTGTGTGAGCCCAGGGACGCTCGCACACACACTTGCTGTCACACACAAAGCCGCGGTTTTGTAGCCGCCGCGCGGAAGAGCTGAAGATGGAAGGGGGTGGCGCTTGCATTGTCCAGAGGCGTAAGGAGTGCCCACGGCGTGCTCGCCTCCTCGGGGTTGCGGGAAGCGGGCGCTGTGGCTGGATTCGGTCTAGGGCCCGGCACTCCTGGGACTGACTGCCACGCCTGGCCCCGGGCGGCTGCTGCTCTCTATCCTTGGCTCTGGCGGCCCAGTTAGGGGAGGTTGGATACTTCTGGGTCTTCAGTTGGGGAGGGGTGAACTCAGGTTTGTGTGGGGTTCGAGTGAATGGCTACACCGCGCTTGTAAACACACCCAGACCAAAATACTAAAGGTAGCATCTCATTCTAAAGAGATGCGAGTGGGAAGCTAGGTCATTGAACTGACCCACCACCCCCAGTTTATTGTCAGGACCTGATCAACTTGGGTTTTACTCCAGGAGACTCCCCAATGTTAACCTCTGTGTCATGCACATCCTAAGCCTTGCGGCTGCATCAGAACCCCCTTTTCTGATCCGAGAAAATCACTGAACGGTTTTTCATGAAGGGCAAAGCATCTGAGATCTGTCGTGAGTGAAGTTTCATCCCTCCTTCACCCATCCCCACTTTTTTCTTATAAATTATTTTTCTTGCTATTGTTCAAGGCTGAGATGGGCATCCTCAGATTTATTTGGCAGTATTAGAGCAAAACTGTCCTTTCCAGAGCTTTTTAGTTTTTTCCAGGTTTTTTCCTCTTGCCGTCCTCCATCACTCTTTTAAATGCTCATTTAAATGTCCATGTGGTCAGCCTTGAGTGGAGAGACCCTGAAAAGCAAGGTGATGGGAGACGGGCAAGAGGGTGACTGTTTCACGCTTTGTAGGGACTAGGAGAAGAAAGTTGCTCTGCCTGGCATCTGCCTCTTCAGGGGTGGCTCTGCCTGGGTATAGGGTTTGGGCTTTTTCCTTCGTCTCCTCTCCTCCTTTGTTTCAGCCTGCCTTCTTCACCCTGGGACACTCGTGACTAGAGTCATTAGGAGAAAGGAATCTGTAGTCCTGATTTGGAGCTTTGCAGTGTTTGCACCTGCACAGGCGGCCACCAGTTGGTCTTAAGGTGAACTGCAATGGTAGGAGGGGTGAGGGGGCTCTGCCCAGATCTGTCGGGGGCAACCGTGTGTGCTTCCAACTGCTGCTGCAAAAAGTTGGCTTTTTGATCTCCCCAGCAGTGTGCATTTCAAGTGTTTTGTGTTTGGAAGTGTGAAAGCAGTACTCATTTATATATATTCCCACATGTGTATACATTTTTATAAAGAGGTGTGTGCATATGTTTATGTGCATATGCCGTATTCTTTGGTAGAATCTGGAAGCTGGAAGGGACCTCAGGAGATCACAGGAATTCACATAACCTCTCATCCCATTCAGTTTTCTTAGTTTAAAAATAACCAACCCACCTTCTGCCCAGCTGGCCTCCAAAAGCATTGAAATGCTAGAATCCCCTGTGACCCTAGCTGACAGGGAAGCTTTTGGAAGTATGAGTGCCCAGGAACCGTTCTAGGTGTCACTCTGACATTTGACACAACTTTTTCCTAATGTTCCGCGTGTCTCAGGATCTAAGTCACTACAGAGACATCCCCGGATTAATTTTTGCAGGGGACAGGCAGTGACTAGTGTACCCTGCAGAGATGTGTGGAAAACTGCAAAGAGCAGTTATCTGTAAGATCTGGGTTGGAAAGTTGATGTTCTCTCTCTCTCTCTCTGGGTCATACAGACAGGTGGCTGCTCTGCTCTTTCTCAAGAGGCTTTAAGAGCAGTAGGTATTCATTGTCTTCCTCCTGTGTGTCCTGGGCTCCTGGCCCTAGGAGGCACGGAGGAGGGGTGATTGGGGGTGGCATTCTGTGTTATAACAGTAATAGACCTCAGGAAAGTGTGTGCTGTTAGCTTTGTCTCTGGGAGTTTCCTATGGTGAATTTCAAAGTTTGGGGAAGGGTCTTGGTGTCAGGTGATCAGGCTGATGGGTAGTTTTGACTGCTGTAATTCAGGTGAGACTTAAGAAAAGGGAGGAAATAATTTTATACAGGGGTTATTGCTATTTGGGTGACAATTGAGAAGATTGAGTGAGAAATAAATAAGCATTTGGGACTTGTAAGTGCAGGTTTTACCAGGCTGCCTTTAAAGTTAAAAATTGCTTTGAAGCATAGAGTCACTTTTAGTAGCCAGAAGATGGCTACACTTCCAAATTTCTCTTTGAACTTAAGTAAAGATCTCTCTAACCCTTAAAGTCTCGCATCTAAGCTGTATCCCCTATACATGTTTTACATCCTGTGTCAACATCCACAGTTGTGACTGATGCTGGCTGCCGATGAGCATTTATCCAGCATCTGCTGTGTGCTGTGCACTGGGCTGGTGCTGGGTATAAAGATGTCCTGCTAAATTATCTCCTCACTTTTAATGTATCAGACCTTCTCTTACTATGTGTTAATGCAAACTAATAGCTCTTGGAAAGCCGCCAGGGTGGGTCCCAGGAGCCTTAGCACTCTCACCATGTTCTCAGCCGGAGGAGTTTGGACTTGAGCTGTGCGTTTGCCCATTTGGGCTGTTTTGTTTTATTTTCTTTCATTGCCACAATTAAGCGCACCCTTCCCTGACTTTGTCATATCTGCAGGGCTGTGTGTGTGCATGGGATGGGTTGGAGGAATCACTTTATTTGTTCAAAATCCCACAATTCTCTTGTCTGAACACACACTCTTCTGGAACAGGAACAGGGCTTTCCTCTCAGGACTCTGTCCAGTCTTAAAAATCAGGATAGACAAGGGTTATAAGCTATTGTGTCTGGATTGGTGGGAGCAGTTTATCTTGTAAACTGGCACTGTCTCTTTGTCACCTTCACTGCCAGGCTAGCATTAATGCCTGCTGGACTCTGGCTCTTTCTGGGGTGCCTCCCTGCAATGGGTAAGGAGTATTTCACTCAATGAGTTCATCCAAGTTCTTCTGTTACTAGTAAGAGTTAACTACTGGTGCTTGTAATAGTTTTACTTTTTAAAATGTCAGCACTTCAAGGTTATCCCTAGACTAATAACAGCCTCACTCATTTGCATCCCTTTGTGATTTCTGTGGCTGGCCCTTGAGGGAACATGTGCCACCTACTCCTGTTCAAACTTCATGCTTTAATGTTTTTTGTTTTTTGTTTTAAGATGGAGTCTCCCTCTGTTGCCAGGCTGGAGCGCAGTGGCACAATCTCACCTCACTGCAAGCTCTGCCTCCCAGGTTCAAGTGATTCTTCTGCCTCACCCTCCCGAGTAGCTGGGATTACAAGCACGTGTTGTCACGCCCGGCTAATTTTTGCATTTTTAGTAGAGATGCGGTTTCACCACGTTGGCTGGGATTGTCTTTATCTCTTGACCTCATGATCTGCTGGCCTCGTCCTCCCAAAGTGCTGGGATTACAGATATGAGCACCCCCCTTCACCCCAGTACTTCATGCTTTAATGTTGTTGTTCAGTGCTCAGACTGCTTATAAATCCTGTCATGCTGGTAAAATGTTTTTAAAAAAATTATTATAAGTATGCTACACAGAAAAGCCTTCCACTCTGTTAGTTTTGGGTCTTTTCCATGTCTGGGTCGCCTCATGGGAGTGTGTTATGTTGGTGATCATCATAGAGATTGTATTATATGTCTTGGTGGAGAAATATCAGGAAAAAGTGGGCAAGAAAATAGGAATGATGGCGATTAAAAAAATCTATCTTCTCCGTTGGCATTATTGCAAATGCTTCTTTTGTACTACAGGTATTTTGTTTAATCCTCACTGCAACAGTGAGGCAGATTCTGTTGTTGTTCCTAGCTTATTCATGGAGAGACTGTAACGTGGTGAGGTCAGAAAGTCTAGCCAAGGTCACAAACAGTTACTGAGT